TTCATTTTTTTTTTTTTTTTTTTTTTTAATCCTCCCCTGGGGATATTTTTTCCATCGCTTTCCAGAGAGAATGGGAGAGAGAGAGAAACATTGATGTGAGAGAGAGACATCAATTGTTTGTCTCCTGCATGAGCCCTGACCAAGGTCGGAGGTCGAGCATGCAACTGAGGTACATGCCCTTGGCCGGAATTGAACCCAGGACCCTTCAGCCCACAGCCAATGCTCTAACCACTGATCCAAAATAGCTAGGGCAGGGCCATTGATTCTTGCATAAAATTGTGGAATGCTGGCTCTTCATGGCTTTCCTCTGTAACTGGACAATATCAGTGTCTCTGCTTCCTCATTCTCTTCATCCAGGGTTCCCCGGGTCAGGATCAAGTCAGAAGAGTCCCACACAGGAGATAAGCTGTATGTAGCAGTTCCTGTGTCCAAAGCTACAGAGCCCATATCTTTCCGTAGGCATTCCACTTCTTTCTGCTGCTGGCTCTGTGCACGGCCAGTGATTTCTTCAGACGTTCATATTCAGGACAGTATCCCCTTTCATATTCTCCCGCAGCACTGGTGACTTGCACAAACAGTTCACCTGAGCCTGTACCCAGAACAGCAGACACACCTACCACCCTGAGTGAGCTGTAAAACTCGTCTAATACCAAGCTCATTGAATGATTCAGATTACTGACATATGTAGTTTCTTGATTCAAAGTATCTTAGAAAGCCTCAAAATCTTGCATCCATTCCACTGCAAAGCTGTGATCAATGTTGTCAGTTTTATCCATGACCACAATGAAAGGAAGCTTGGTTTTGTACAAGATACTGCAGGCATAGAGCATATTGGACATGAAGGTCACTGGGTTGGTACTTTTTTTGTTGTTAATCCTCACCTGAGGATGTTTCTTCCATTGATTTTTTTTTTTCTTTTTAGGAAGAGTGGAAGGGAAGGGGAGAGGCAAAGAGAGAGAAACATCAATTGGTTGCCTCCTGCAAAGGCCTGGGGGGGAGG